CATGGACCGACTGGACTAAAGCTTGAGTTTGACTAGTACACAGTGAATAGCAAATTCCAGTCAATGGAAGGAGTACTGTAAAACATGTAATTGTTACCCGCTTGAGATGGGATGAGGAACAGAGTCCTGCATTGTCCTTGAGGGTTGACAGTGCTGTAAAATTGTGAAGGGGATATTTTTATTAACTCACATCTAATATTTGCATGTAATTATATTTCTTCAAAACTGCATGTTGTGCTTGTAGTTGGCATGATCATAAAGGTGGATTGGTTGATGGGAATGAAACTGGGAACTTGAAATAAAATTTTGCTAAAGAATTGTATATAGTTTTGGTGTTTCGATAGAGAGACTAATAGTGCGTTCGTTTCTTGATTTTTATATTATTGTAATGTAATGTGGCTATTACCATAATATTTACAGGATAACAGCAAGCCAAAGTAGAAGATTTGTGGTTGGTAATATACATGTGCTTTTCAATCCAAACCGTGGAGATATCAAGTTAGGCCAGGTACATACTCGGTTTAGAAAACATTCTTCTCGTCTGTCTGCATCAGTATTCTTGAACATTCTGGTGTCAGATGTCATTGTGGGCAAATCTCACAAGTTTGTTTGCCTGCCGTGAGAGAGATACAATTTGGAACAAGTCTTCTTTCCTTTTCTGGTTGTTTCCATGGTACGTATAATTTTCTTCTCGACCTGCAAAAACTTCATCTGTGTATCTTACATGGAAATGCTAGGTTCGACTACTTCTACAGAAGGCTCATAAGTTATCACAAGAATGGGGCAGCATTCCTGTTATAATTGGAGGGGATCTGAATAGCATTCCAGAGGTTAGCATTTGCCTCAATTGTATAAAGTTGATAGTTGTAAATTGTAATTGCAGTTTTGTTGGATCTGATAACATTGACTTCTGTTTGTCACTCATTTTGCAGAGTGCCATGTATCAGTTTCTCTCCTCATCTGAGGTGAGTTTCAGTAATGCACAAGCACAACCCTCACCTAGAATTTCAGTGTTTTGACTTCTTTTCTTCTTCAATGGTCCCTGCCATCGTTCATTCTTTAAGTTAATTCTCCTTAAATCGTCTGGCAGTTGGATATCCTGCTGCACGACCGCAGAAAGATTTCTGGACAGCTTAAACGATCAGCACAGCAGAAACACATCAGGTTCCCGATTGAGCATTCGAGGTTGAAGACTTCAGAAAATTTCTTCCTCTTTCTGTTATATGGTTCCTAGTTATCAGGAATAGAATACTCAATAATGATTGTTATAGGTCTGATATGGGTTCTAACCAGTTGCGAATTAACAATAAGATTTTGAGTTCATTGTTTATTATTAGTACTACTATTTTTTGTGGTGCTCCAAATCAAGGGTGTGCCTTTGCACCCCCTAATAAGGGGCTAGCTCCGCCCCTGGTTCTAACTCCATTTACTGATAAAATTTACACCTTTGTATAGTTGGAGTGAGGAAGAACTAAAGCTTGCTACTGGCAGAAAAGGAGCGGCTCATCTTCAGCATCAGTTGAAGCTTTCTAGTGCATATGCCAGGGTTCCGGTAAATTTTCGTTCTCTCCATGGATTTCATGTCCACTCTATTTCTCTAGATTAAAACTTGCTGATGAAGAGATGGAACAAGTTACTCAATAACATGACCTCAGGGAATCTAGGATGAATGTTTGAGATGGACAGGTTTTTAACTTTTGCAAGGACTAGATTTAAGCTAGTCATTTTAGACAGGAAGATACAAAAACCGAAAGGTGGTTGTACTCTTGATCTCAATTCCAAAATCCGAGTTTAAGGTCATGTGTTCCCTTTTTATGTGTAATTTACTGATTACTCTCTCTGGTAAATTTGTTCAAATTCTTCAGGGGAGCAGCATGTCAAGAGGCCCTTGTGGAGAACCATTGGCAACCTCCTACCACTCAAAGTTTATGGGAACTGTTGATTATATCTGGTAGGCTATCCTTATACTAACATGGTCATGCGTCCTTTCCCCTGAATATTAGCACTAACACTCAACATATGCAGGCATACGAAAGAACTTGTACCACTTAGGGTTCTTGAAACCTTACCCCTTGATGATTTAAGGAGAAACGCAGGTCTTCCTAGTGAGGTTAACAAATTATCTTCTTGCTTGTCTGCTTTGATATTTCTTAAAAAGTTCTCGAGTATTGTGTGATCGCCACGAGGGTAGCAGCAGCCCATTTTTTGCCGCGTTTTTATCAACACCAGTTTTCCCCAGTTCTTAAGGAAAAACTATATCGACATATGTGGCTATTTATTATTGTCTGTAAATAACAGAAAGATTGTATTATTCGCGCTTTGAGCAAGATGGCCAATATAATTGGTATCTTTCATATACACTAAAACAATGTCTGTATCATCTTGCAGAGATATGGAAGCGACCATCTTGCTCTTGTGTGCGAGTTGGCATTTCTAGATGATGATGATGATTACTGAATTCTTTCGTGGATGCAAAGCTGCAAGCGAGTTCTCTAGGTATACACAGAGCTAGCTAAGTGGAAGGAAGGGAACGGTCCAGGATTCGTTTCAAGAGGGAACTCAATTGTTCCCAAGTTTCCTGAAATAGAACCTGGTCATAAAATACTAGCTTGGTGACGAATGAATTGTGACCAGCTCTATTGTTCCCGGAGAAGGGTCGTGTGTGCAATCATGGAAGTGACGACGACGTCTAAGGGTCCATGTTGGAAGATGGCCACCTGTCTTCAAAGTAGCATTTCCCGTTCGGCCTTCCTTCTACGTCTTCCACCACACTCGAACTGATGATGCTCCACGGTCCGCACCACCATGTAATACAATGTGCCCTTTCTTAGCATTACTATTTTGCCCGCGCTTTGCGACGGTTGAAAACAAATTATATTTAAAAACTCTCTCGTTTTTATGTGAAATCGAATAATCAACAAATGTTTGGATATGATACTCTCATAAATTATACATAAGAAACAAGTATTCCTTCATAAATTTTTAGTAGTGTTCTAATCATTATGAAAATTTACATAATATGTATAATCACTGGCGGATCCAAATTTTTTGTTATAGAGGTGTCATCTTTTAAAAAATAAATAATTCATAATTAAATTAGATAATTCATAAATAAGAAAATACATGCTCATATCATTGGTGGACTCCAATTGCGTTGTGTCTTTGTATCAATCAAGCATCCATCTTGATTGTGGTCAACCTTCTACCCTTATATTGATAGAGCCTCCTCGCAGGTGTGATATTGCACTTTAATTCCACCTTATCCCTAGTTTTATTCAAGTTCTTAGCTGCGTGACTTTGATGACTACGTCTAGGGGTACTGGTTCCGTGCTCATATCATATATGTAGTTAATTCATTTGGTTGTTTATGAATTTTAGACAGTTGCTCAACGATTATAATTCTTTCGCTCATAATAATGTAAAGAAATTAACTTTATATATACTAAAGAAAAATAGATCATACCAAAATAGACTAAATGCAATGATGATCTGGTCGTTGGTCCTGATAAATTTTTTTTATACTATTGGATTGTGGTTCTAATGAGCTTGGTCTGTTTCAGTCCGACAGACCGTTGCACACCCCTATAATTGTTATAATCACTCAAAATAAAATATACTATCACATATAGAAGGTTATTATTATTTCAAATTAAAAATAATTTTAGTGTCACTTTAACATCATATGAAATTAGGTATTTCAAATAGTTTTAAAATATTAATATAAACTTTGTGATACGATATATTCAAAAGACGATCGATCCAACGAGTCAAAAACCAAATTAAGTACTAGTAGGAGGAGAGAGAGATCAAAGATGTCGTCTCACCTTTTATCTTCCTAGCAAGGTTGTCAACCCGCGGACTAACCCGGACCTAGTCAAGCTAGTCGGTCAAGGGTCAATTGGTCACCCATTTTAGCCCGAAAATATGAAAAGAGTCATTATATTGTACTTATCTTGATAAATTATATAAAATCTCATCTAACATATGAGTTATAACATATAATATTCCACCAAAATAACATGTCGTACTTAGATATAACATATAGTGAAAATTCACACACACTTATATAACATCAATATTCAAATGTTCAACTTAAAATTCCAAAGATTGAGTTAGGCGAAAAGAAAAATCGGAAAATAGGCGCATTTCGCAAACCAAAGAAAAAAATAACACAATTTAACTTCCAACCCGATATCTTATAACGGTCGACCCGACGAGTGCGTGCGGCTCTTTTTTTCACCGGATCAAAGTCAAAGCGGGTCAACTCGACAACCTTGCTTCCTGGGTTCCTCCAACAGAACCAAACAACAAACAAATGACTGACGTGCACAAGATCAAACGAGACATTTGGACTTTGCACTTGCGCAGGACCTTGTCTTACTTCTCTCTCTCTCTCTCTCTCTCTGAATATTCAGTCATCTGCTTCCATTAAATTGTGGAAAACTGCACCAAACAAAGATTCATTGCATCTCACTACCAATTTGTATTTTGTAATGCTCACTACACTAGTCGTCTACAATAATAGAGGAATATGGTCATGTCAGCGCACTTTCTTATTACCACCCAACTTTTCTTTCTTCGTGGACAACGACTTTTCATGAGGAGAGTGATAAGTCAACTGCACACTCCTCCCAACAGATAACAACAGGCAGGCATGCAATCAATCAATTGATACTCTCTCTGTTGACCAAGGAAGCCTTCTGCTTCTGATAACAACAAATGACAACAACTGGTCTGGTCTTTTTCCACATTCAAACCAAACAGGCATTGCATCAGCAGCAGCAGCAGAAAGTTGCATAAAATACATTCCAATCCACAACCACATCAACAGACAAAGAAAACAAAATCTGAAACCAACTCTGTTGATTCTTTGATTCCATTCCATGGCCAAGGCTTACAAAGAACGCTCCCCAAAAGAAAAACACACCATTTTGCCACCATCTCTATGATTTTAACTCAAAAACTGTAACATAAACAAGGCCTAACTACAAAATTGAAGCTCAAAAATTGAGAGCCTGCTGAACAATATCAATACCCTCTAGCTCAATGTTAGGAAGATCCATTAATCCTCCTCCTAAACCATCTAATATTGGAAGGAATTTCAACTCCTCATCATCACCTGGGAACACAAACTCCCCTACTCCTACTATATCATCAAACATCATCCCAAAATTGCTCCCAAACTCATAGCAGCAGTAATCATACCCTTCACTCCCCATCACAATCTCCTCGTCACTAGTCGGCGGCATCATCTCATCAATTGGTCGCATTTCGTCATCCTCGTAACTCAAACAACAATCGTCATTGTCATTATCCTCGTACTCGTCTTCATAATCATCATCGTCATAATCATCCTCATCGTCGACATCCATCGGTCTCGTGATATATGTCTCTGGTTCGATCATTAGCACCTCATTCTCAGACTCCACTTGCTTCCAGGGCAATCCCACATCCACCACCACCACCACGTTACCATCACTATTATTATCAACAACATTGTCATTGCTGGTGGCCGCATCAAGCACTGACGATGGAGATGGGTGAGAGAAGGAACCGCCATTCGATTCCTCAGACACAGCCCCTTCCTCCTCGTGGGTGGCAGTGGTCTTGGATTTCATCTCCAGCGCTTGATCGAACTCGGTCTTTTTCCTCTGGTAAGCAGCAGCTGCCTCTTCTGCCGTGCTGTAAGTTCCTAGCCACACCCTCGCCTTTCGGAACGGATCCCTGATCTCGGCCGAATACTTCCCCCAAGGCCTCCGCCGGACACCTTTGTATGTACTGCTGGTGTTGTTGGTGGACAATGCACGCTTCTTGACTCCGCCGTGGATTCTGGACTTGCATCTCTCCTCCTCCGTCTCTTCACATGCTGCTGCTGCTGCTGCCGCGGCCGATGATGAAGGGAAGGAAATCTCTGCAACGAACTGCTTGACGCCACTGCCACTGCCACAAGAACGAAGCAGAGTGAATTCGCCTTCATGATGATCTTCTTCTTCGTCGCTGGAACAGTCGGTGGCGTCTGGATCGCTGTATATGAGTCGAAGCTTCTTCATTGCTGCTGCCTTGCTCTGTTTCTGTACTTGATCGATCATAACTACCAGGCTTGGAGTTTCAAGGCCTGGCATTGCTTGCTTTTTTTTAATTTTGTTTTTCCTTTCTTTTGTAAAGGAGGGAGGATGGTTGTTGTGTTTTTTCTTTTGGGATCAGAAAAATTGAATTCAAAATGGAGACAAACTCCTCAAAATCATCCATTCACTAGCAACACAACCCATCGGATCACTCTCCCTCTCTCTCTCTCTAAAAACTTGAGTATCAAGCAAAAGATTACCCAAAACCCAGAACCGAAACCTCCCTAAAACCCCGAATGATTTGATTTTCCCTTGGGGAACAATCAATTCAAAAATAAAATTAAAAAACCTGTACCAGGAAGCAGCAAAAAGAAGGGGAAAAACAGGATCAAAATCTGCTGCACACTTCCAACCGAAAAGAGAGAGAGAGAGAGAGAGAGAGAGAGAGAGAGAGAGAGAGTAACGTCTCAAAAGAAAAACAGGGGGAAGAGAGGGAGGCTAGGTACCTTAATGAAGCCAATCGCGTAGAAATAGTCAGTTTCCCGATCGAATCCGGGATAGAAGAGGAAGCAGAGAGCGAGGAGGAGGAGAGAGAGAGAGAGTGAGTCGTGGTTGGGGAGCTCCAGCGGTCAAGACATGAGACCCAGACGACGGCATAAATCCTCGTCCGATCCTCTGTTTCTTCTGCAAAAAAGGAAGAAAAAATTAAGAAAAGTTTCCTCATTTGTGATGGAAGCTAGAAGGGGAAACAGAGTAAAGAGCTAGCGGTGTGTGCGTGAAAGAAAGATTTTGTTGCCCCGAAAAAAGTAGCGCAGAGAACGCCAAAAGGAGAAAGGGGAAAACCCATCTCCATAGCTGCTTCAGCTGCTCGTTGTGTTTGGTTAATGGAGAGGAGAGGAAGATTATGAAAACGATGTCGGATTAGCGTTTAGAATAGAAGACGGAATCAATCAATTTCAACTTAATACACACACTAAACGGGAGAAATTATGATCGTGGTTATTACTTCAAAATAGTTTGGGTTTCTCTAATTGACTGACTTACCCTTTCTGGAGCTCCTCCCTTCCTTCCCCTTCTGCTCTAACAAGGAAACAAGTAACTCTCTCACTCTCTCTGTCCTGTCTTCTTCTTCTGTTCTGTGCTTCCTTTTCCGCTTTTTTTCGCCATTTTGCTCTTTTATTTATTTTTGTTTTTAGCTTGTATTTATTCTATCATGCAATTTCATCCCCTTTCTTTTAAAACACATCCCATATAATATAATACAAAACCAAGAGTTCAGTTTTTTTTTTCTTCGATGAAAATAGAAAATTAAGGGTTCAAAAGTCAGACCAGAGATTAAAAAAATACAGAAACATTAGAATAATAAACAAATATAATATGTCAATGTTGAAAACAGTTTTTCAGCATTTCAAATGTCCTACAACGAGAGCGAAAGTAAGAATGATAGATTTGTTTTTATATTAATTAATTTATTATTCACATATATCAAAATTTGAACCATGATCCATTCAGACAAAAACAAAAATCATTATCAATTACATTTAAAAAAAGTTGTTAGTATCTTTCTAAATTAAAAACAAATTTATTTTTCACTATGGTTAGCGAATTTGTTTTCCACTTCGATTTTCCACTTTTTCTTTTCTTTGGTTTGGTTTGTGACTACTGGGCCGAGAGCAGAGTCCGCCCATCCAACCCACTTCGCATGCTGCGGGCGTGTTCCAGAAGTCGTGGGCAGCAAGGAATTATTGTCCTTGTTGGGGTTGTTTACCATACACGAATTGTAATCAAGCCCTAGTTGATAATCATGTGGAAGGGCATATACATATGCATGTAAGGCCATTGACAAAGCATAACCTAATAAGAAAACCCTACTCTTTCCGTGGATGTAAGCCTCACACACCTTGAGGAAGAACCATGTGTGTCGCATCCACTCCATGACCTATTTCGACATTAAGGGATCCTTCCTCAACAGTCCTGTCCCGGTGTGTCGTAGCAGAATGGGATGGTGGAACGCAAGCACCATCATGTTCTTGAACTTACCCGTGCCTTACTCTTCCACTCTCGAGTTCTCCTAGTTTTTGGGTGGAGGCCATTCATACTGTTGTCTACCTGATTAAGCCTCGGATCACTCTGGTTCTTGATCAATGGAGCCCCTACCAGATTCTCTTCTCGCGTCTTCCATATTATATGTGGCTTCGAGTTTTGGGTGTGTTTGTTATGTCCTCTTTTCTCGTCGGGAACATAACAAACTATCTCCCAAAGCTGCGAAGTGTGTGTTTGTCGCGTACAGTGACAAACACAAGGGGTATGCTTGTTATGATGTTGCCAACCAGCGACTTCGTATCTTTTGTCATGTGGTGTTTTTCAAGCATTCTCTCTACTATGCGTCGAATTAGTCGATTGATAGCTCTCAATGGGATTTTTTTGGCTCATCTGCTTCATTTCCAGCGCCCTCGGTTACTATTGTTCAGGAGGATGACGAGCCTCCATTGTCTCCACCGCAGGCCAGCTCGTCCTCCTCCTCCGGGTCGTCAGCCTCCGCCTCTGCCTCCACTGGTTCCTCTAGTTCTTCCTCGTCCTCGACTTCCTCTAGACCTTCGGATCACGATGCCGAAGAGATCCCTCCTCTAAGCCGCTCGGATCATGTTACCAAAGGGAAAGCTCCTGCCCACCATTCTCATTTCGTTACATACTCTGCCACGTCCCCAGTTTTTGTTCCTGCCACCTACAAGCAAGCTCAAGGTCTTCCACAATGGGAGGCTGCCATGGACACAGAAACTGACGCATTGGAGGCTCAACACACCTGGGATCTTGCTCCTCGGCATCCTGAGATGGCTATGATTGGGAGCCGATGGGTCAAGGGTTCAGACAACAGGTCGGTGTTGGCTATGAAGAGACGTTTTCTCTTGTGTCTAAAATGCAAACTGTTCGGAGTCTCATTGTTGTGGCAGCTATGCAGGATTGGTAAAAATGCTTTTCTACATGGGGAGTTGAAAGAGACAGTCTACATGGAGCGTCCACCGAGTTACTCAAAGGGGGATAAGACCACGGTTTGTCACCTTCGTCGGTCACTGTACGATTTGAAGCAGTCCCCCAGGCTTGTTCAGAGTCAGATGTTAGAAACAAGGTTTCTAACGTGATCGGGATTGGGGAACTTACCTAGATCAATTAGGGATTGATCTAGCTAGGGATTGTGATTTGTGAAATTAAGAACAAAAGGGAGGGGGAAAAGACTGCTGCTGCCGTAGCTTTGGAAGAAGAAAAGAGGGAGGGGATCGGCGCAGGGAAGAGAGAAGAGAGAGGGATTAGGTTTAGGTTTTTAGTAATTGATTGCTTAAAGAAAATAATACCAATAGTACAAATTATATAATCCGCCTAATCTCCTTCTACTACCCAACCAATAAAATATAACAATCGACTCCCTGTTTATTTCCCGAATTACCCAAATAATCCCCCAATTATTAAAAACCGACACTAATACGAAATAACCAAAAACTGCAAATAATGTGTTTCCCACATCCCCGGCTTCTTCGGAAACAACTTTGTCCTCAAGGTTGTGGACCCTACTCCAAATCCGGCGGCCCTTCCTCGGCTGCTTCCTCCTCTGCTTCATCTTCCCAACGTCCCACCAGCATCATCAAGTCAGGCTTGGCGCATTTGTGCCCCACAGTGAACCTCTCATCGCAGTTGAAACACTTGTCTTCCCTCCTCTTCTGCTCGATCTCCTGTGGTGAGAGCCTCATGAACCATTTTGGGGGTGGCCTAGGTGCTTGCCGACTCGCGATGACTGCGCCAGCTGGCGACAGCCCAGTGCCAGTAGGCACACTCGCACCTCCTCCGCCTGAGCCAACTCCACTTCCTCCAATCTCGCTTGCCTTTGCAAATCGCCCAATCGTGCTCCTCCAGCTCGCCATCTCCTCCTCCTTATAACCTGCAAGACGAAAGGCAGACCGCAGCGAGTCGGGCTCGAAAACCTTAACCGCCGCGGCTATTTCTGGCTTTAGGCCAGCCATGCACAACCCGACTAGGGTCTCCTCCGACACTCCCTTGCATTGGTTGCCTAGCTTGAAGAATTCCGCCTTGTACTCCGCTACTGTCCCGGTCTGGCTCAGCTTAGGTAGTTGCTCCGATGCCCACCCTTCTCATTTTCCAAACTGATACCGCAGCTCTTCTTTGAACAAGGGCCTGGTGAGCAAGGTCTGCGCAGCTGCGCATGATCGCTCCAGCCACTCCCACCACTATAACGCGTCTCCCTCTAGGTAGAAGGACGCCAGATGCGCCTTCTTTTCTTCCTTGGTAGGGTGATTCTTGAACCACCTGTCAGCTGCATACAACCATAGACCTGCATCCTCCTGACCATTGAATTTTGGAAACTCAATGGTAGGGGGTTTGGCCCTAAACACCAGATCGCCATCATAGCCACGGGGATAGCTGTCATACCTGTCGTGGTAGCCCCCCGGCACTCGGCCGTGATAGCCCCTCGGTCCTGGCGGACCTCTACTTCGACCCCAGTCCTCTTCTTCCTCGAACGGGTACTCCGCATACTCGTCCAGACCAGCCTTTCGTGCATGATTAGGATCCCATTGCTCTGCCGGTGGATGGGGACCATGAACTGGCGGGTCAGAGGGTCACGAACCCCTGCCGAAGACCCTTCTGATGCTCGACTCCCGATCGCCTGATCCGCCCAGTAGCTGGTCCGACCGGTTCAGCCCGCTGGTTCGACCCCACCTGGTCCGACCCACTCTGATCGACCCGACCCGATTCGGTCCGGCCCGGTCAGCCCTCCTCGGCCTGGCCCCCACCCGGGCGGTCGGTCCGACCCACGGCCCGCGCCCCTTCCCATCGGCCCTCTTCCTGACTCGGCCCAATTCCGGGCCCTCTGATCCGGGCCCAGCTCCTCTTCCTCGTCTGGGCTCAGCCACCCCAGCCCATTGGGTTCCCTGCCTTGGCCCATGTATTCGTGTGGGCCGAAGTTCAGCTGGGGG